CTTAGTCTCTGGAGAGAAATGAAACAAGAACTGGCGTTTAGCAAGGACCATTATACTAGGCCTCAGACAAGTAGCTTTCAACATGCTGTCTCTTTCACTACATCCCTTACCAAAAAGTAGCAGTTGTTCTTTTACACACAAGGAAAATGAGGATTGCAAGGGTCAAATCCAGCTTGTCATTACAAGGGGAGAGCCAAACCTGAGTCTGTTTGCACACTTGCTGCTTAGTCAGAGCATTGTCCTTTGAGGCTCTCAAAGTCTGTAGTAATAAACGGAAGACTGAGTGTCCAGAGCATGAGGCCATCAGCAGTGAAAGATGCTGTGGGTGGAGGCCAGTTGCAAGAAGTATCTCCCAGCATGCAGAAATAGCAGAAAATGGGCCACGAGGGCTCCTCATAGCCAGGCAGAAATGTCCAGTAGAATCTGGGGGAGTGGATCACAGCACCCGGGAACTTGAGTGCATATAAGCCTCGGGGAGGGTTAGTAGCAGTGATTTTATCAGAACTGAATCATCTGACAGCTTGAATCATGGTCACCCTTAGTATAGCTGAGGCCATCCATGTGCTTTCTCTGGTGTGTCCATTCCAAGAGAGATTGAGTCCAGACAAGTGAAACATACCTGGAGCTGTAGATTTGAGCATTGTAAACAACCTGAGGAGAGACTGGGAGCAGTGTCTAGCCTGCCCTTCACTGTGGTGTGCCGTCCACATTTCTCCTAGAGAGGAGAAAATTGTAAACCTGCCCCAGGAGTGTGGAGGTGTCCTGTAGGCAAGGAACCGTCCTCCTGAAGTCTAGGGAAAGTTTGCTTGTTTACTTATATCCTGGCTGCCTGGAGCGTGTCTGCTGGCTTTGGGGTGACACAGGCCTGACCAACATTCCTGCTGACCTCTGTGCCTCCTCACTTTCCCTGTTTCTTCTGTTCTTGTATGTATGGATGGATTCTCTGGTTTTCAAACTACTGTTTTTCCTTTTTTTGTTTCATGTAATTGGCATTTTAAAGTCTTGGTCTGTTGATGTTTCCCAGCAGTTTATGTTTGGTCTAAATTAATTCCTTTCTTTCTTGTCTTACCGGGAACAGTGTCACTAAGTACATTTAACCTTAACTTCACTCAAGACAAAGTAACTATATGGCATTACAAATAGCAGGCCAAGCCTGCCTTGTTTCTTGCCAATTTCTTCTGGAACTGGGATGAGCTTTGTGGCTATGATAGGGATGACTTATTATTTCTGTCACTTAGAAGGAAGGAAGTACTCTCCCGTCAGTATTATTTAGGAAATAACCAACTTACACGTGAGTCTGTCTTACAGCTGTTGTGTTGTGTTGTGTTTTCCAGTCACTTCCACTTGGTTGATTTCCAGTTTTTGTTAGACTTGACAAGAGTTCAGGGTTCCTGAGTGTTTTAATAGCAGCAGCCATCTCCTTTGTAAAGCATTTTTATGCCAAATCTTCTGTGAAAAGGTTTGTTGCTGATATACTGATATTAAAAGCTTGGTTCATGTTAAGCCATACTGAAATCCTTTGTCTGTGGTCATTTGTATTCAACTTGATTTCGCATTGTTGGCCTTTAACTGCTCTAATCTTGCTGGAGCTCATGTTTTCCCACTATCCTCTGCAAAACCTGTCTTTTCAATGACATTCACTAAAAAAAAAAAAAAAAAAATTATAGGCCTTGATGATTTTGACATCTTTGTTGTCGCTTTGAGCAGGGTCCGCTATACCCCAAGCTGGTCTGACGCCTTGAGCCTCCTGCTTCCACCTCTCAAGGTTTTGGGACTGTAAGTGTGCACCACCATACCCTCCCCCTCTGACTTCGGATACAAGATCTCACTGTATATAGCCCTGGATGACTCCAACTCAAACTCAGAGTGATCCTCCTGCCTTTGCTTTTCACATACTGGGATTAAAGGTGTGTCAGTGTGTTGTCATAACAGTTCTGTGAGGGGCACTTGGGGGGCTGTTTTATAAACGGTTGTGAGTTGCAGCTGTGGCAGAGTGGAGTCTCACTAATGTCTGCCTGTCCACTGAGCCTTGTGCTTCAGCACCTTCAGCTTAGGAGCGTCTTCTGGAAGTGATGCTCCTCAGAGTAGAAAACACGTGTGTGTGTTACTGAGTTGCCTATAAGGAAGAGAACCTAAGTTACTTAAAAATTATTTATAATTCTTAAATTTGTTGTTGTTTGTTTGAGACAGGGTTTTCCTGTGTAGCCCTGGCTGCCCTGAAATTCACTCTGTAGACCAGGCTGGCCTTGAACTCAGAGATCCACCTGCCTTTGTCCCCGAAGTGCCGGGATTAAAGCACTTAGTGCTACCACCACCTGGCTGTCTCTCAGATTTAAGGAAGAAACAGTTGGGTTTTTGAAATTGTAAATAGGCCCAGTCTCTTTTTATTTTTTAAAGATTTATTTATTTTTTACGTATATGAGTACTGTGAATGTACACCTACACGCAAGAAGAGGACATTAAATCCTAATATAGATGGTTATGAGCCACCATGTGCTTGTTGGGAATTGAACTCAGGACTTCTGGAAGAGCAGACAGTGTGCTCTTAACTGCTGAGCTGTTTCTCCAGTCCCAGGTCTGGTCTCTTTCCTTCGCTGAAAACCAAAATAGTAAGTGCGTTTCATTTTCTCCTTGTCAGGAAGGCCTTGGCTGCAAGAGTCACACCTTGCTGTTTTGAATAGGATCACTGTCAAGGATTGAGATGTAGCTGATGCCCTCAGGACTGCAGCACTGAAGGGCCTGTAGCTGTTGTGAGTTCAAGATGCCCCAAAGCTAGAGAAATGGCACATTTCTATGAAGTAAAGCTGTGAAGGGTAAATTGTCAGATATATCTTTTGCTGGAATTTAAGTAACTCAACCAGAAGTTCTGGTGGGCAGCCAGTGAACGTGGCCAGGTAATTATTTTTGAAAATAGCTATTTGTTTGTATACAAGGAGCACAGGATGGGGATAGTCGAGAGAATGGAGTAGAAGGCCTCATGGAGTTTGATTCCCCTTGGTTCTCATGCTGTGCTGCAGTAGTGTGGAAGGCCCACCAGGTGGCACCAAGAATTCTCTTGCCTGCTGAGAGTTCCCAGCCGCTGTGGAGCATTTGAAGCTCATTTCATCTCCCTTGTGAATATGGCTCCATAGTACTTCTACCCTAAGTTCTGGTTCCTGAGCCCCCTTATTGTTAGTATTTGTCAGCTTTTAGCGCCTGGCCACATGGAACATTTTGCCTACAGGGAAGACTGTGGGAAATGGCTCTCCCTTCAGATAGAGTACAGCTGCTGATGCTCCTCCTTTTTTAATGATGTTTGTAGTCCAGGCTGGCCTTGAGCTCTTGTGTAGCCAAGGATGACCTTGAACTTCTGATCCTCTTCACCTGGATGCTAGGATTACTGGCTGTTCCACCACATGGAAGTTTATACTGCGCTGGAGGGTCAGTGCTAGAGGCTCAGGACCCGTGAGCATCGTTAGTTCCCATCTAATCTGTGAGCCAAGTGTGAACACACAGCAGCTTTCCTTCTCATCCCCTTTGCTTTGACCTTGCCCTAGTTGCACAAGTCCTTCTTGGGGATAAGAATTTTGAATGTACGGACAGTGTGTGCCTTCATAAATCTCAGTCTGTACTGGACCCTGACCAGCCACCTTCAGTGTGTTCTAAGCAGTTGGTTGTGGATGTCCTTTCATTGTTTGGTTCTTCCCTGTAGTTGGTTGTGGCAACCAGTGTGTGACAGACAGTACATGGCTATGCAGTTCTGGGCTCTGTGGAGAGAGTATACAAATCAGAAAAGATTCCTCTTTTCTGGCTTTGATCTTTGCTGCTTGACAGGGAATCTGTAGCTGGAACTGTCTGACCAGGAGAAAAAAGAGACACAGCAGGCAAAGGCCTGGAAGGGGCACTTCGAGCATGCTCAGTTGGATCTTGTCATTTTATCGGGGACCATTAAGTAAATGGACATTCAGCTTTTGTTTTCTTGGACAACAGATGAAGCTTTTAAGCATATTGGAAGGACATTCGAAGAGGCTTCATCATACTGTTATTTCATTAATACGGCCAACCTACGCAGGCAGCTTGTTTCCCTGCTCTGCCTTCCTCATTGTGTGGCTGCCTTTCCAAAGTTTCTGATTTGACAACATAATTTAGAAGTTCAATGTGTGGTAGCCCAGGAGCATTTGAAACTAAGCAAAAGCAGTTGCTTATACTTAACTTTCTTAAGTGAGAGGTGGCTGGGCATGGTGGCACATATCTGTGGTCCCAGCACTCACGGAGGCAGAGACAGGTGGATCTCTGTGAGTTCAAGGCCAGCCTAATGTACAAAGTGAGGCCAGGACAACCAGGACTACACAGAGAAACCATGTCTTGAAAAACAAAACAAAACAAAACAAAAAACAAAAAACACAAACAAACTGTGATGGAGGTGATCTAGAAAGTTGGGTTGCTGCTGTGTCTGGCTGCTTCTTTAAAGGCGGTCTCTTGTTTCTTGGTGATTTGGGGCCATTTTTATTGTGAGAACTGGGAATGCCAAAGCCGGAGCTCTATGATTGGAGCATCAGAAGTTATGATTAGGAGATGAAGAAAAAGCAGTGACAGCTCTTTTTCCCTTTGAAAATTTAGTGCTTGCTTGTGACACCCCTTCAGCCTCTGTCCTGTGGATACTGAGACCCCTGCTCCTTGTTTTTTCTTTCAGTTTTTCTAGACAGGGTGTAGCCCTGGTCATCTGTGAACTAGCTCTGTAGACCAGGCTGGCCTTGAACTCTGCCTCCCGAGTGCTAGGATTAAAGGTGTGTGCCACCAGTGCCCAGCAAGGGTAATGCTATTTTAAAGACTGGTTAGAACTGGCCTGCTCAATGCTCACCTTTGTTGAATCTTTTTAATTTTCCTTGGCAGTTGGACTTTAATGCATCAAGGTACGCTGAGGCTGCTCACAAGAGCATCTCCAGAAATACATCTAAGAATCTGTGGGAAAAAAACCTTGGGAACTGTTGGTGCCACTAATTGGGCTGCTTTGTTTTTAGGTGATTGGCGAAGACAACGTGGCAGTCCCCTCACACCTTTACAAGGTGATCTTGGCTCGCAGAAGCCGGGAATCTACTGAACCACTGGCACTGGGGGCCTTTGTGGTGCCAAATAAAGCCATCGGGTTCCAGTCCCAGTTACCTGAGTTCCAGGTGAGCCTCCAGGACCTAGAGAAGATGTCAGGTCTGGTGTTTTTCCCACATCTGGATAGAACCAGGGACATGGAGAATATCTGCTCTGTGGACACTTGTAAGCTCCTGGGTTTCAAGGAGTTCACTCTGTATCTGAGCACGAGGAAGATCGACGGAGCCCGCTCTGTGGCCAGACTGGAGAAGGTCCTGGAAGCTTTGAAGAGCTCAGGGGTGGAGCCTGACGATTACTTCCTGAGTCGCTATGGGAAGAAGCTAGAGGAACTGAAAGCTAAGGAGCAGACAGACACTCAACTGGAAAAGCTGTCCTAGTGTCGTCTGGTGTGCACTGAGCACCTGTGGAGAATGCCATGCCCTCTCCAGGCAGGTGTATTTTAGAAGATTTATTTTCAAGAAATGATGGAATCCTGACTAAAAATCCTTTCAAAGACTCACTAGCTCAAAATTCAGTGATGTTTTCTTTTGCTAGGATCTGAGTTAGCTGAGATGGCTTTTAGAATTCCTCTCTTATCCTGTCCAAATACATTATGACTTACTACTTGATTCTTCTCTCCTGACCCTGATGTCCTCCTTTCTGTCTGTTGGAGCACCTGACTTTTGCTTTCCCTACTGCATTCTGTGTGCTGTGCAAACCTAGTGCTGTGCTTGTCTGTCAGTGATCCTCTGTGCAAAATCCCACTGTTCCCTTTTTACCTGTGGGGAAGGTGAGACTTACAGAACTTTATACCGTCCCCATTCATGTTCTATAGAAGTCACCCAGTGCTCCTCAGTGTTAAGACAAGGCCAGAAGGCGGCTTGACCCAAGTATGTACCTATATCCATGGCTATTTCTGCTTCCAAGGTCTGATGGCTGAGAAGGGTCTGGCCTCCTAAGCAAGAATGAGTGCCTTATTCTATGGGAAGAAACATAGCAGGTCTTTGAAAGATGGAGTTGCTTTGTGGGTTTTACCAGAGCCTGTGGGCCCCTCCAGGGATCGTGTGGTGCCAGATTCTTGCCTCACTAGGGGCTTTCTGAAGGAGCCAAGAAAGGTGTGTGCTGAGAATCACCATGTACCTGCTGTCTGCCAAGCCAGCACACCACAGGAAGGTAGAACCTGGGCCCACAGTCTAAACCAGCTCCTTCCCTGTGTGTGTGTTGGGGTGGAAGGAACACCTTTCTGTGCTGATCTCGGGACTCCTTTACACAGATCTTGAGCTGTCCTAAGTATGCAGAGTCAGCAGCTTCCAGGCAGAAGAACTTGTCTGAATCTGTCACTCCACCCCTGTCTTTCCACGCACTAAGAACAATCTTTGTGGCATTGTGTTTGCCTCTGATAGAAATGCTATGGCTTTACAATAAAGAAGAAGACAATGGCTGACTCTTTTCTGCTCTTTCATCTGAGTAAAAAGAAAAAGTTGGGTGTAGGACACAGGAGGTGATTAATGCCATTCTGTTTTATTGTACTGTTCCCCATTAGCTTGTGCCAATCCTTCTAAGGATAGAAAGCCAAAATGTCACTGTGACCAAAAAAAATCTGTTACTTTCTCTCCTCAGAAGAAAGGTGATGGTGGGTCCTGCTTCCCAAGGAGCCCCAGGAGGGAGGTGGGAATGCGGCATGGTGCGGCGGAAGCACCTCCTGGGCTGTGTCCTAGGTCCTGTCCTGTGTTTATGCAGTCAGGGCCACTCTCCTGTGGCCATGCTACATCCCTTAGGCTGACCTGACTTGCTGGTGGCCTTGGAGTTGCCTCCCATGCTCTCGTCACTGCTGCCTCTCCTGGATGGTGATGAATCTTGACTGTACCACTAAGTTGATGCATCTTGGGATTTTATAGATGCTGCCTGGTCATTGTGAAAAATAGAGATAAGAACAAAACAAAGAGGTAGTAGTATGCTAGACCTCCTTTTCTTTTGTCTTCATTATGTGAGTGTCCCTTTGCATCTGTGCTTACCGTGTGAGTGCCTGTTGCCCCCAGAGGCTAGAAGAGGTTGTAGGATCCCCTGGAAATGGAATTACAGATGTTTAACCGGCATGTGAATGCTGGGTCCTCTGCAGTTGAATCGGGGTCCTCTGTAAGAGCAGCCAGTGCTCTTAGTCACTGACCTCATTTTTATGTGTAAGATTTATATTGGTGTTCAACAGTGATGCTTGAATTGTGTGAACATTTTTATTGAGAGTGCTCATAACAAATACTTAGAATTTCCTCTACATCAGGTCACTGTGGCCCTCGCAGTGTACCTGTTTTTCTGGATTCCAGTGCAGCAGATTCCCAGGTCTCAGTTGAGTTATAAGATATGTCAGCCAAACCTGAGTGATCACTGTCCACTCATTATCTTAGTGGGTTCCTTGGGTTCTCAGTCTGAGCCTGGATCACTGCTGTCTGTGTCATTTATCCTTCCAGGCCTGGAGAAAAGACCAGGCTGGGTGGGCCCTGCTGTGGGAAGTCCCTGTCTGCAGCTAGGGGATTTAATCCCTAATCTTTCTCAGTTTCTAGTGACATCTTCCAATTCTTTGGTCTCTGGATTGAGCTGTTTGGCCAAAACTGATTACAGCAAAGGCCTTACTAAAAGTTAGAAGGCTTGGGAAGGGGATTCTAGCTCCTGGTGCCATTTTGGCACTTATGGTCTTCTCGTAGGCCTTTGATTAGCACCCAGCTGGGAAGGCTGTCTGGTCCTGAGGGAATGGCTTCCTGCAGAACTGCACTCAGCAGCTGTGCTTGCAGCCTGACATGAATGACCCTGTGTCTTGCCATGTCACCCGTGTGCCCTGCCTCATTTCTGTGAGAGGGTGTCATTGACCTCACTCCAGTTGTATGGCTCCCTGTTAACCTGCCATGGCTAGATCTAACATGTGTACTGCTAACACATCCAGCCCATGCAGCTCTGAAGGCTGTGGGGTTCTTAGGAGAAGCCCAGCTGGTGGAAGAAGGTCAGAAGAGGCTTCGAAGGTTACATGTCGCCTTGGTTCTGTCCTGTGTGTTTTGCTTCCTGTCTGCCACCATGTCAACACCCTCCACCTCACACTCCTCCTGCTCTGGTGGACTGGAGTTCCTGCAGTCATCAGTTCAAGTAAACCCTTCCTGAAGTTGCTTCTGCCCCTGTGATTTGTCACAGTGGCAGAGGTAACACATGGCCTACCCTAACCCCCCTCCCTCCCCCTCTCCCCTGCACAACTGCATTTCTTCTTCCTGCTAGGCCCTCAACCCTTCACCCTATTTTCTTCCCTGTGAACCTTTCCCACACACCTCTATGTGTTAGTCCCCAGAGCCTCACTCTGGTTTGTCCTGGTGGAACTATGGGACTGGCCTCACACTGGATATGGATCTTCTGCATTCAGCCTCACTTTTAGAAATGAGTCAAGTCGCCAGAGAAGGCCAGGCAGGGGTCTTTTCTCCAGCAGGAACCCCATGTCCGTGAGGACAGTGGGATTGGTTGTGGGCATAGCCAGGGTGGGGTTAGGGTGTTCTGGTCTGATGGTTTGGACTGCCTCTAGGGGTCAGTATGGTCTCATCTCCACAGGAGTCAGCTGGGCTGGGCTGTGACAGCCTGAGGCAGGCTACAGCCTGAGGCCTGGAGAGAGAGTGGCTGTTACCTCATCTAGTCAGCTTCATGTTTTGACTCTGAGCTAATCAAGTAGCTTTATTTCCCTCAACTGTATGCTCAGAAATTTCAGGACTACAGAAATGTTGAAGAGTGTGGTGATTGTCCCTCCCCCAGTGTTTTGTCTTGCTGGCTCCTCTCCACCTGGAACCACTTAAAGTTAATTTCTTGTCCTCCCAAAAAGAAAAAGAAAAACAGTGGCAGGGCATGATGGCACATGCCTTTAATCCCAGCTCACAGGTGGATCTCTGAGCTCAAGATCAGCCAGTGAGAGCTTCATAGTGAGACTGTCTCAGTAACAATAGCAGCAAAAGCAAGCAAGCAAAACCCATGATAAGTTTGTGCACAATACAGAAACGAGTCTCCATGACAGTTTGCCTGTGATTCACTCCAGGACAGGGGGAGAGCTTGTCACTTCTGTAGGCCCACAGAGTGTGGTTGGTCAAGGCTTTGGAGATGGGAGCCGGTAGGGTACCCGTGCTCTGGCAGAGAGCCTTGGCCCACTGTCTTCATCCCTCTGAGTGAGGAGCCTCGTTTGGAGACAGATTGAGAATTGAATACACGGTTGAGTTGAACACATTGAATGCAGGGTGATAAGTTCTAATAAGGGGTAGCCAGTTACCAGCTTAGGGATGGTTGGTGGAGATCAACAAGAAGGTGCAGGGCAGCCTATGATGTGAAGCAGCAGGCCAGGCAGAGGCAGCTCCGATCACTGCTCACACAGTTCTCAAGCTCCTTCGCAGGAGAACCTCTTCTGGGCACTAGTTAGGAGGTGCTGTGAGGAAACACAGATCTAGGTCCGGCTTTCCAGCCTGTGTCCCAGTGCCTACCCTCCACCTCTCAAGGGTCTTCAGTTTTCACGTGGTTTCAGTTCAGTCATTCAGGCATCCACTCTTAGCCCTGCTGATGTGATAGAGGTGAACACATAGTGGAGCTGACGTCTTTCTAGGCCCCCATCGAATGTCACCCAGTAGGTCAGGAAAACTGACTGAAGCCTGTTGAGTGCTCGTGTTCCTGTTCTTCCAGTGGGGGACGGCGGGTGATTTGACCACCGTAGGCTAATGGCTATGAGACCAGAGTTGAGCACTGGTCCCATGGCCTGAATCTTGTACATCCTTGACCCAGCCCAGCCCCCATGCTTCAGGCTCTGCAGAGTCCCGTCTGTGGCTGAGGGGATCCTTCATGGTGGGAAGATGGAAGAAAGGTGGTGTGTGTTGGGCAGGGGCTTCCGAGTGGGCCTTCTGGGGAAGCAGAGCTGAAGTTAGATCTAGTGTGCAGGTGTGGAACCCCACTCTCTATACCCCCAAACTGGATCTCAGAATGTGCCTGTTCTCCCCCCGTCCTGGGCCCACTTTACACAGGACGAAATGCCCTGTCCCTGCTGTTGATCCTTCCTCCCCAAATGTCCTCTAGGGCTGTTAGGGGTGGGGGCAGTGAGGCAGTGGCCTGAGTTCCTGGATGCTTTGTTCCACCATCAGACAGGACAATGTTTTCCTTCCCACTACCCATAAAAAGGTCCCTGCCTTCCTCTGTCCTTCCAGTGGGTGTTCCCTGTGTTTCCTTTCCCCACTCCTTCACCACTGTGGACAGAGCCTTAGATCCCCTCGCTTGTGTTTGCCTTCTGACATAGGTGAAGGAGACCTGCTTTGGTCTGTGAGGCCATCTTGTCCCCAGTGAATAGAGCCAGGACAGCATGATGTCTTCTTCCCCTATGTGAGTCTAAGACTCAGACTGGCACACAGGCAGCCTGCCCTCACTCTCCTGCACAAAGCCCTTGGTGTGTTCTGTGGCTTGGAGCCTTGTCTGGGTCAGAACCTGGATTCCGACTCTGGCTTATAGGTGTGTTTGTGATAGGGTTGATAGGGTTTCAGGTAAGCGGCACCTTATTCCTCAGTTGGCCTCCCCATTAGGTCAGGGTCCCTCCCAGCTTGGTATCCTTTAGTCGTACAGGGCCGAGCCTTCCTTGGGGGAAAGGCCCTCTGCAGGGGTGGTTTGCAGAGGAGCCATGGTGCAGGTGGAGGCCGTAGGGGCAGAGTGGCTGAGGGCCTCTGAGGAGGTGTGAATGAGGGAGGCAGAGCAGGGCTGGTGTGGACAGCCCTGTCCCAGCTCTATCTCCTGTCTCAAACACCCTCTCCACACCCCAGCCCTGATAAGCAGGTGTGAGCCATGGCCGCCTTGTGACAGGCCCTTCGGCAGGGAGGGTGGTGGCAGGGGTCCACTCCACTTCTGAAGTCAGACGTCAGCATCTTTCTCCCCTCACTTCCGCTTCCCCACGGGACAAGACAGGCCCAACAAAATGGGATCATTCCTGAGCCTCAGCCGTGCTCTGAGATGTCCTTTTTGCTGCCCAAGCCTGGTGAGGAGTAGGTCTCCCTCAGTTTACTGGCAAAGTGCCAAGGAAGGTGGTCACCCCATCCCCCACCTCCAGGGATGGTTCCTGCAGTGACCCCTGTTGCTGGGCCTGGCACATCTAGCATTTCTTATCACCTCAATGACTGGTCCTCTTGTCTACTCAGTCAGCTGCCAGCCATCCAGCCACTCTGTCTGGGTCCACATTTTCCTCTAAGGCCATAGCCATTGCCCAGAAGGCCATTTTCCAGGCCAGGGTGGTGGCTCAGTGGGTAATGGCACTTGCCATCAAACCTGGCAACCTGGGTTCAACCCCCTGGGTCCATGTAGAAGGAGAGTTGTTCTCTGAGCTGCACATGCGCACAGACGCATTCATGAGAATGGAATGGGCAGAGAAGTCTTGGAGAAAGAAACTGAAGTTTGGAG